GGTGTCTTGGACCGATCGGTCGGTGACTCGGAGCCCTCTTGGACCGTCTTGGGGACTCTTGGGGCCCTCTAGGAGCGCTCGGGGGCGCCTGAAAGCCGCGCCCAGAAGGAAAACCCATCTCTGGGTAGTACCGGCCGGGGTGCTTTTCGTCCGGGGACCCCCAGGGGCCGCTCCGCGCGCGCGCGAACTAGAAATACTGTTTACCCGTAGCCGGAGATCTCAGCACGCCTCTGGCCCGTTGGGCCGGCGAGTTTCACGACGTCCCTGGGCCCCCCCCTCTGGGCCGCGCACATGCCGCCGGCCATGGTTTGCGCCCCCCCGTCTTGGCCGCCCCCGAGTTCCTGCTCGGCGGCCTTCCAGCCCCGGGGCGCCCTCCAGCAGCTGCGCCTCGCCGGTGGTGGTTCGGGGGTGCTCAGATCGTCCCGAGCTGCCGCCAGAGACCAGGGTTATGACCCGAGAGCAGAGTGGACCATCGGGCGGCTCACGATCCGATTCTGTCCAGTCCGATCCCCGAGCTGCGATCCCGATCTGATCTGGCGTCGGCTCGGTCCCTCGCCGTCCGTGCCCGAGGGGCCAGGTCCGATCACGATCCCATGCGGTCCGATCCCGATCCGATTTTGCGACGATCCAGGCGTGATCCGATCCGATGTCGGCACGATCCGATTTTGCGATCCGATCCAGCTCGGGCCTGGCAAGCAGGAGGGAGGGATGGGCACAAGCGCTTGAAGACATCAGCTGTTCAAGAACCGCAGAGCTGGCCGAGCCCAGCATGGGCTGGATCAGTCCTCTTTTTGGTCTGGCCGGCAGCCTAGAAAGACGGTGCAGCCAGGCAGGGATCTGGCACGGGCTCCGTCAGGCTCGGCGTCGGCTGGTGTTCTTCCCAGAGGAGCACGGAGAGGGACGAATGGGTGGGGTGGACGGAGACAGGGACTCCGAGGCGTTTTGGCCCGCGTCACCGGTTGGGGACGCCTAGATGATGATGATGATGATGATGATGATGATGATGATGATGATGATGATGATGATGATGATGATGATGATGATGATGATGATGATGATGATGATGATGATGATGATGATGATGATGATGATGATGATGATGATGATGATGATGATGATGATGATGATGATGATGATGATGATGATGATGATGATGATGATGATGATGATGATGATGATGATGATGATGATGATGATGATGATGATGATGATGATGATGATGATGATGATGATGATGATGATGATGATGATGACGATGATGAGTCCGATTCGGTGCCACTCGATCCGCTGGCTGGGCCCGCGAGTTCGGTGCGCCCCGATGCGCTTCCCCGGCAGCGGCCCGGGCCCGCCGGAGCCGGGCGCGGCGATCCGATCTCGACTCGATGCGGGGCGACTCGTTGTGGCGGATCCGACCCGGCTGGCGTCCCGGGTGGGCGCAGCATGCCCCGCAGAGGCCGGCGAGGGGTTCGCTCAACGGGTGCCCAGCGCCGGGGATCCTACTTCTAGACGGGTGGAGGGAGAGCTGCGACTGCTTTGACCTCAGGGGGCGTGTTCTACCACTGGCCAGGGCTCTCCTTGGCCAAGGCTCTGTGTGTGCACCTCGGAGCTTCCTCTGGCATTCCCGTGGGACGTCTTTGAGATTCCTGTTGGGGTTCCTTCAGGGCTCCTTTGATGCTTTTTTGAACTCCTTTGAGACCCCCTTCGGAGTTCTTTGGCATTCTTTTAGGGTTTCTTCGAGGCTCCTTTGAGATCGCTGTGCGTGCTTGACCACCACGGTGACTATTGGGGCCAGTGAATAGACGTATGTTTCATTAGCGTGCTAGCATGTCGCGCGAGGGTTCCGGGATTCCGTTAGCAAAATCCTTTCGTGGACTCTCCCATTGGATCCCTCGGGAAATTAAATTTCTGCGCGGGGCTCGCGTTAGGGACTGCCTATCTCCACGCGAGCCTGCGCCTTCAGATTCTTCTGTGCCCCCTGGCGATTGCTGATCAGTTGCCTCGACTTCCTAAGGACTTCTTGCGGCATCGTGTTGATCCGAATGGCTTCCTGTGATTCCCCTTTCGCTTCCTGTGTGTTCATTGTCACTGGGTGCTGGGGAATGGGCCGGCGGCGGCTTCGCGTCGCCACCTTTGATCATTCCCTGCAGGCACGGCCCCTGTGCTGCACGCATGTTTGTGTACGGTACTCCTCATCTGATGCACTGGCGATATCGCCAGGAGGCGCCGCCCAACACGACCGCTGCCTGCAGCCGTTTTTCCCTCTCCGGCCCCAGCCCGCTCCCCCCCGCGTGCTTCGGACCCCCCGGCGGGCACCTCCCGGCCGCTCCGGGATCTCCCGCAGCCCCGCCGTGTCCGCCTCTCTCCCCTGGTTATCCTGCACGCCGTGCGAGGCCACGGCTCGACCGGAGCCGTGTTTTGTTGGCGATTTCGTGGGCCGTTCTCGCTGCGGGTTCGTTCGGCGGATTGGGCGCGAAAGGAGGGAGGACGAAACTTTACCAGCTTGAAACACATCCCTATCCCTGGGCGTGTCATCACCTTACCTCGGTGCCGATCTTGAGGATTCCTGCAGCTTCTGAGGGCACATCCCTAAGATTGTATGAGATCGAAGCTGGTTAGAAAGCAGCACGAAAACGAAGCACACTGTCCTGGTAGCGCCCTGCTCTGCTTCTCCCGCGCGCCGTGCGAGGCAGAGCGCTGGCGGCACCGCGCAGCCGCCGCGCGAGGGTCGGCCGTGAGCGGGGGCCCCCGATCCCCGCCCGGGCGGAGCACGAGTGCAGCACAGGCGCTCGCGGCGGCGGAGGGCCAGCGAAAAGGAGGGCCCCCGTCGCGGATCGGTGTATTCGGGAGTGGCGATGGGGGGGGGATAGGCATATTAGATGGATGCATCGACCTCGAAACTTCCCACTGATCGCCGATAGTTATGGGCCCGATGGCGCCAAGCTGCCCAGGAACTTTCGGATTCACAAACGGGGGCCTTTCACCGATCTATCGGCGATGTATCGCCGATTCTAGGTCGATGTTTCCTTGCCGCTGCCCCTCAGGTATTTGCACCACGTCGGTTGGTCGGCGAGGGAGCCAAGGAGCTCGGTGAGGCTGGGGTGTGTGCATGTCCACCGCACGGGGAACCGACCTTCCTGGATCTCGGGAGGCGGTTCATATGGATGTAAAACTGGCGCTTCGCGTGTCCCCACCAGCCGTGCCTTGCGGACTTCCTGAACTTTACTGGCTTCGCCGTCTGAGAGGCTGCGCAGCGCGCCCCAGTCGCTGTAGCTCTCTCTTAGGTCATAATTTAGGTCGTTGCGTTGTTGCTTCGCTTCTAAACGGCGCGCAGCTGCTCGGTGTCGCTCGCGATCAAAAAAGTGTCCCCACCAGCCCATCCAAGGAGGATGCCTGGGCGCGTTGCCTTGATCGGGGAGGTGTGGGTGCTGGAGCAAGCAGTGGAGCCAAGAGGGTGGGCAGCCGTCAAGCCGAAGCTCGGGATCACCCCGAGCAGACCGAAGCGTCAACCACACGTGCCTTCGCGGGTATGTCGATGTGGGAGCCTCTTCGACAGCTTGCTTAGGCCATCTTGGGGGTCATGGGGGGCCATTGTGGAAGCCTTTGAGGCTCTGCTCGGGCCCCATTGGGGCCCTCTCGGGGGCCTCAGGGGCCTCGGGGGCCCTCTGGGAGACCATCGTTCAAGAAAGGGCGGTGTCCACAACAAGGGTTCTCCCGTCGAAGCTCTACAGATGGTCTCGTGAGGCCCTCTTGGGGCCCTTGTGGGTTGCCTTCTGGCGCTCCTGATATTGCAAGATTGTTCGGCCTCTTCCCTCTGATGTGCGCGTGTGGTCATGATAATGGGACAGAGCGTTTTCTGTGGCCGATTGTAAGGTGGGTCGGTGGCGGCGGCGGCGGCGGCGGCTGCCGCGACGACGACGACGACGACGACGACGACGACAACGACGACGTTGACGCTGACGGCGACGACGACGGCGACGGCGACGGCGACAGCGACGGCGACGTTGACGGCGACGGCGACGGCGTCAACGACGACGACGATGACGACAACGATGACGTTGACGTTGACGACGACGACAACGGCGACGGCGACGGCGACGGTGGCGACCTCGACGGCAACGGCGACGGCGACGGCGACGGCGACGACGACGACGTCGACGACGAACGACGAACGTCGAACGACGATCGACGAACGACGAACTACGACGACGACGACGAGGACAGCGGCGGCGACGACGACGATGTGTGCAAACGATGACGGGTGTCCACGTGTAAACTCGATGACGCATCATATCTTAATGTCCCGCCCGCCCGCCCCGAGCTGCTCGTTAGGTATGCCCGCTCGACCCGACCTGCCCGTTAGGGTCCGCCCGCGCGCCCCGACCTGCCCGTTCGGGCTCTTGCGTGCAAAATCGATGATGCACCAGACTTGAATGTCCCGCCCCCTCACATTCTGACCCGACCCGCCCAGTAGGGCAGTAGGGTCCGCGAGCCCGACTCGATCTGCCTTGCCTGCCAGGGTCGTTCGGTCGGTCGTCGTCGTTGCTGTTGTCTTGTTCATCGTCGTCGTTCGTCATCGTTGGTCTTCGTTTGCCAGCGCCCGCCTTCGTCGTTGGCTGGCGGCGAGCAGGGAGAGAATTTGGGGATGGGGGGAGGGGGGTGGGAGTCCCCATGGTTTTTCCGAGCGCGCCGGATTGGGGGGGAAATCCTCTTGTTCCGACATGTCGTGGGATGCTCCCATGGTGGGCGCCCGTGAAACGCGTTCCTTCTTTTGTATTGTCATGTGCTTTCGTTTGGAATGTGTATTATCTTTGCGCGTGATCTAACGCATTGCCAGTGTCGAGCGGATAAATATAAAGCTAATGTTACACCTTGATTTGGCACCTTCTAGTCCTGCCAGAGTAAGTAAAATTCCTACGAGCTCTGGCCATGTCTACATACCTTTGCCTGCGACTGTTGGGCCCAAGCCTTTGCAATATTCATCTTGTCAGGCCTCGCATGCCATGCCGCGCTACAATGTCGACGACGCGGCACAGTACTATAGTGCCTCGAAGGGGCGCTGGGTCGATGCCGTCGTCACAGCTGTCTGCCCAGGAGGCGAGGTGCAGGTTTCGTGCAAGCCTGGGTACTGGATGCCGCTGCAGGAGCAGGCCGAGAGGCTCCGCCCGAAGTGCAGCGGGCCCAGCGATGCAGGGGCTTCGGCCGGGCCAGCCCAGAAGCAGTGGTCGACGGACCAGTTTGTAGGCCTGGGCAGGCACATAGACGAGGGCCACTACCAGGACGTGCTCCTAGCCGACCCCGATCCGTCGATCGGGGCTCGTCGCTGATCCACCCGCTCGTTCTATGGAGCAGGGTCAGCGTCTGGATCGGGGCCAGGCCGTGGCCAGCTAGATCGGGACGGTGGTCTTGCCGTGGATCAGCAAGGGCTCCCTCGAGGGCGCGAAGTTATTCGCGCTTCGCGCTTCGCGGTCCTCGTTCCTTCTCCTCCTCCTCCTCGTCCTCCTATTCTCCCTTTGGGAGGGCGGCGCGAGAGCGCGAAGTTATTCGCGCTTCGCGCTTCGCGCAGCGCGAAGCGCGAAGTTGGGAGCCCTAGATGAGGTCACATCGCTCCAGGGCGTCTCGGAATGCTCTGAGAGAGCCCCAACGCTCCGGAACGTCCGCGGCGCCCGACACACTCCCCATCACCGCTGGATCTCAAGGATCCCCGATCTGTCCTGACCCGTTCTTGTCCTCATCCCTGCTTCGTCCCAGGGTGCCTCTGAGGACGTACTTTTGGACGCCAGCCAGTGCAAGTCCGCCAGCAGTGCGGTGGAGGGCCTTAACAGCGGGGCGATCAAGCGCCCGGAGGGCATCTGCGTCGTCTTCAGCGCGTCGAGCCAGGCAGCCCACGAGGGCGGCCGGGCGCGGGAGGAGAAGGAGTGCGTTGTGGAACGGTCTTGCAGAGCACGGCGCGCCAGGGACGGAGGGGGATGGTGGAGGGGAGTTGCCGCGCATGTTCGAAAAGAGAAACGGCACACACATATTTTTTTTGAGGTCCGCGCGGACCTCCGAAAAGGATATGTTTTGGTATGGTCCTTTTCTTTCTCCCTCTTCAAGTACGGGGAGGACAAGGCGGAGGGGTGGGGCACACTGAAAGCAGCGAGCTCCGACTGAGAGTGGGAAAGTAGTGAGGGTGAGGATCAGGATGCGGCCGAGGATGTCAGTCGGGGCCAGCGTCTTGGGACCACTGCAGTGAAGCTGCCAGGTGTTGGCGACGCCTTCCCCCACAGTTGCCACGCCACGACTCCTGACCGTCTCAAGGGGGATGGTGATCCCCTGCGGGGTGCTTGGATGTCTGCCCGCTGCAGTGTCCAGAGAACAGCGGTCACACCACCGATATGATTATGTTAACGAGCGCGTGCCTCCTCCGTGTTGACTTCGCAGCTAATGTTATCATGCAATCCTCTGGCGGAACTCTCTGTATTCGCGTTACGAGGAATACGTGTCCTGATCTGCGCCAGCCCGTCACAGTCGTGCCAGACAAGTTCGGCATTCTTCAATTGATGTTGACCATTGAATCCTGTAGCATGTCTTCGTGTGTGCTGTTTGCTGCCATGTATGGAAGGCACGCGGCGTCTAGGCCTTCACGCTGATCGCTCCTGCTGAGAGAGGGACCTTTGAGGGCCTCATCGGCTCCTGTTTTTTACTGTATGTGTTTGTATCTCACCGCAGACAGCACTTGTGTGCAATCAGGTTGCAGGCCAGAGCTTCCCTGCGCATTGGCACTGCGTTTACACGCTCAGCTACGGCATGCGGATCTCACACTATAACCTTATGTTGCCTTGGTCTTGCATGCGGCAAACAAAACGGCTCGGCACGGCGTTTCGCCATCTTTGCGAACATAGTTGCGGTCATCGCTTCTTGTTGATCACGGAGCAGCGTGGACCCTCCGAGGCGGGAATGGGATACCTAGGGGGGTACATATTGTTCGTTCTATCCTGGGCATCTTCCTGGCCACTAGGGGGCCAGGAACAATTAGAAACGAGCACAATTTGAAATGAGCACGATTAGAAATGAACGACGTGTAGTGAAGCGGCGGGGATGGCAGAGGATGACAACGAGAGAAGATAGATGAGGGATGAGAGGGACAAGCTAGGTGGGCTCGCGCCACATCTACCAGACGACACTTCCCCCTAGCCCTTTTCCCAATGCAATGGGCCCTCTCTATACGACGGGTCGGTTGTCCAATCTGATCGTGTTCCCTTCCCTAGGTTGTACCACCAGTGCATAACGCGTCTTCTTCTGTGAAAGGGGGATGGGGGGCAGCTGCGGCATGAGGATCGGGCGTCGCATGAGGGGAGGAGCGACGCGCGAACCAGGTATAAGGGAGGACAGGCAGGAAGAGAGCGCAACTGGAATGACCAGAGACGCTCCGAGTGGATCATCACCCGACGTACTTTTTGCCCATGGGTGTGCACATCCAATGCGTGGAAGCGATGGATGGATAGTTGCAGATATGAGAGGAGGAGAGGAGAGGGACGTGGAGGAGCGAGTGAGGGAGGGAGGAGACCGGTCTTCCTTCTTTCCTCCTCCCTCCTCCTTCTCCCCCTGTTTTCGTTCTAGCATCCTCGCGTCCTATGTTTCTCTTTCCTCCGCTCCCCTGCCCTTGTCCCACCTCCACCCACTCTTGTCCTCGCTCACTTGATCTTATGTCTCTCCTCATCATGCGTACAGTCCTCTTTTGCTCCATCCGCCTTCTTCTTCTGCTTGCTCGTACTACTCTTCATGCCCTGCTCCCCTTCCTTTTGCCACCCGCTTTCCCTGCTGAGCGGATCACATGTGCAATGATTCATTGCCCCCCCCACACGCCGCGCAGGCATACTACCTGTTGTACCGCCATGACAGCGTTGGCTGAAGAGAGTGATGATGAGGAGGAAGGATAGGAGGAATGATGAAGAGGAAATGGGGGTGGCCGCGAGGGATCTATAGAGGACGTGAGGACGAGGAGGAGCAGGAGGAGTGGCAAGAGGAGGATGAGGGGTGAGAGCGGAGGACGAGGAGGAGGAGGAGGAACCCGAGGAGGAGGAGGAGGAGGAGGAGCAGGAAGACGAGGGGGAGGACGAGGAGGAGAGGCAGGAGGTAGAAGAAGTAGAACACGGAGGACGAGGAACAAGAGGAGGACCAGTGTACACCCAAGACGCATCAACGATGCTGCAATGAATCTGCCTTTCAAGTTCCCTTTTCACAGGTGCCTACATGAGTTTGCGGTCATTGCGGGATGTGACCCATCAGAAGGTAACCGTCGGACAATGCCCAATCGTGGCATAACACAATGCTTGCGTCTTCAACTTCGCGAATCAACGTGACTGTTGCGTCCTGACAACCCTATCTGCACTACAACACCCTGGCACTTCAACCATGCGATTCCTTCAAACGGTCGCAATTTTCAAGACGAGTGTGCGCGGCGCTCAGGCAAGAGCCACATTGTTTGAAGGAGCCGCCCTTCATCTTCGAAACTGTTGCAGGATTTTCAGACGAGGGTGCGTGGCGCTCAGGCGAGAGGCACAGTTTGAAAAGCCACCTGTCCTCCATCTTTGACGCTGTTGTAAACTCTTAAGACAAGTGTGCGCGCGGCGCTTAGGCGAGGTCAAAATGCTAAAACGCACCCCCCTCCATCCTTGAAGCTGTTGCAAATTCTAGACGCTTCGCGTATCCCCACCAACCCGTCCAGAAACGACGCCCAGGCGAGTAGAGGGTCGTCCTGAGGGGCCTTTCGGCGTCTTGGGTGCCTCGGGGGGGGCTCTGTGGGCCGTTCGGGATCCTCTTTGGGGCCTCCTGGGGGCCTCTTGGGGCCATCTTGGGGCCTCTGGGAGCACCTTGGGTGCCTCTGTGGGGTCTCTTGGGGCCTCTTGGGGGTCTTTGGGGGGCCTCCTGGGGGCCTCTTGGGGGGCCTCTTGGGGCCATCTTGGGGCCATCCTGCGGCCTCTTGGGGCATCCTGGGGGCCTCTTGCGGCCATCGTGGAGGAAATCGATCAAAGAAGAGGGGAGCCTTAATTAGCGTTGCCCCCTGAGAAGGCCAAAATGGGGCCCAAACCCTAGTAAAATCAATGATTGTGGCTTCCTCGCCGAGGCCGTTTTGGACGCTCTGACCGCTCCCCGCCCCTCCTGTCCAGGTCAGTGGGGAGGGGGTAGGGGGAGGGGTAAACCCCTCCCCGAAGGGGAAGAGGGAGGGGTGGAAGAGGAAACGCGTTAAACCACCGACGCCCAGAGGGCTGGTGGGATTTGAAGCTCCAGGATCGTACATGGTTTTGGCATCAACGACTTGTAGTTGCGATCGATGCAAGCTTGCCCCCCAGGCCCAGGCCAACCGAGTCAGGGGCTGGACGGCCCGCCGACCGCCATTCATACTCAGCGCTGGGGCCTCGAGCAAGCATGCCCTCATGCCCATCCCCGTTTCCCTCTTCGCGCCCCCCCTCCCGCCCATCTCCCTCCCTCCCTCCCTATCCCCCCCCCCTCCCCCTTCCCTTCTCGCACCCCCCTTCCCGCCCACCTCTCCCCCGCCCACTCCTCCCCCCCCCTCCCCACTCACCTGCCCTCCTCGTGCGCCTCGGACCTATTCTAAAAGCAAAGGCGTACAAATCTTTGTTTTGTTCCATGCCCTGCGGCCATCGCGCCAGTGATGCTCGAGAACCTAGTTCTACAACATGGTCGCGGCGATGACGTTGTGCTGGTGGTCGTGCTGGTGGTTGTGCTTGGGGGTTGTGCTGCGGGGGTTGTGCTGCGGGGGTTGTGCTGGGGGGTTGTGCTGGGGGGTTGTGCTGGGGGGTTGTGCTGGAGGGGTTGTGCTGGGGGATTGTGCCGGGGGGTTGTGCTGGGGTGTGGTGGTGGGGGGGTTCTAGGGGGTTGTGCTGGTGTGTTGTGCTGGGATGTTGTGCTTGAGGGTCGTGCTGGGGGGTCGTGCTGGAGGGTTTGCGCAGGGGCGGTTATGCCGAGGGGTTGTGCTAGGGGGTTGTGCTGGAGGGTTTGCTGGGGGGTTGTGTTGGGGGTTTGTGCTGGTGAGTTGTGCTAGGGGGTTGTGCTGGGGGGTTGTGTTGGGGGTTTGTGCTGGTGAGTTGTGCTAGGGGGTTGTGCTGGGGGGTTGTGCTTGGGGTTGTGCTGGGGGTTGTGCCTGGGGGGTTGTGCTGGGGGTTGTGCTGGGGGTTGTGCTGGAGGTTGCAGCGTGTCCCGAAGGCGTTTCCCGATCGTTCCCAGTAACTACGTTTCGGGGAAGCTTTTCCGACGCTCCTCCGAAGCTCTTCCTGGGCTCCTGCGGAGCTCAATTTCTCTAATCTGCAAACTTTCAATATGCTTTTTCCTGCGTCCTTGCAAGCGTCTTCCACAGGCGTTTCACGCACTTCGGACTGCCCCGCTATCCGGGCTTTGGACGCCCATCGCACAACCCCCAAGCACAACCCCAGCAGCTCCCCCCACAACCCCCCCGGCACAACCCTCCAGCACAACCCCCAGCACAACACCCAGCACAACCCCCCCAGCACAACCGAAAAGCACGACCCCCCAGCACAACCTTCCAGCACAACCCCCCCAGCACAACCCCCAGCACACACACACACACACACCCAGCATACCCCCCTCCACAGCCCCCAGCACGACACCCCAGCACAACCCCCCAACACAAACCTCCCCGGCACAACCCTCCAGCACAACCCCCAGCACAACACCCCCCAGCACAACACCCCCCAGCACAACCCCCCAGTCCAACCTCCCAGCACAACCCCCGCACAATCCAACCGCCCCCCCCCCCGGAACAACCCCCAACACAACCCCCCAGCACAACCCCCAGCACAACCCCCCGCACAACCCCCTAGCACAACCCCCCCAGATCAACCCACCGCACAACCCCCAGCACAACCCCCCAGCACAAA